GCACTTCACTGAACTGCTCATTTCCTCACAGAAAAGGAGGACTTTACTGAAAGATAATCTCTGAAAGTGAACATCAAATTCTTTTCCCTTCAAAAATAAATCTGAAATTCTCTCTTCAATACCAACGCAGCAATGCAGAGTACTCTGAAGATGATCCCAAATGGCAAAAAAAAGGCAAAGTTACTGCTAGGTGACATTTTCTTAAAAGTCCTACCTTACTTCAACAAAAGTTCTTCTGTATAATGAGCCCTAAATGTATATTTCACATATAGGGCTACATAAGATAGCACTCAGTGTAAGTAAGGACACTCAGCTCCACTGAGCTGCATCATTTAGACTACCTGTGGAGCAAACAGTACAATCAAGTGTCGAGATTATCTGAACTACCTCCATCTCCTCAATGGAATCCCTTCTCTTCTTCCTCTTATAATAGACATTGTATCAAGACATTGACCCTCTGATCTAGCATATTTATTTCAACTGCCCATACTGCTTTCTACTATAACTTCATATTGATAGAGCTTTCTCAATAAAACATTGTTCTTCCTTTAGTGTCGTAAGCAGCTTTCACATGTCTGTTCTCTTTCATTATGGAGTCTTCACAAACTTGCCAAGTTGGATGCTCTTTAACCTCACAGCCAATCACTTCTCCATTTCTTTTCACCTTCTGACTTCTTTTATTTGATCCTTTTTATCTGGGTTCTGCTATCTCTCTCCTCCTCCTTCATTTATTCACAATTTTCTGGCACTCTTCTTTCTCACTATTGAGCTGCACATTTTATGGATCAGTACTCCTTTTCCAAATATTTGTTTCTGAGATATATTCAGAGTCAAGCCTCACCTTTCAGACTTCTACCATGTCACCAACACTTTTTTCCCCCAAGTTTTGAAAATACAATGACGAAAAGCCAAGTAATTAAACAATGCAACAAAAAGACCCCATTTACTGTGATCACTCATCTATCAGAATAGCCTTCTCAAAGTATTCAGGATTCACTAATTACATATCTAAGTCCTGGATTATAGGTCTGCCTCAAAGATACTTTAAACCCTTTCTAGATCTGATTTGTAGGGTTTTAATACCTCAAAACCTACTGAAGCACCTAAAAAAAAAAAAAAAAAACTCCCTCTCCTGTCAACTCTGGCATTCAAAATAAAAGACAAAATATATAAGAAACATGTGCAATGCTGCCATGCTTAGAGAAGACATGTGAAATGACAGAAGAGGTACAGAATCACAGCTTTAAGAAAGAAAAGCTCCCATTAAAGGTACTGACATGGATGTTTGCTCCATGCAGAAAAGTAACTGTCTTAAAATCCCAATCAAATGAGGACAACACCTACCTCCTTTATTAAACCACGTCTTGTTTAAAACTGCTTCAGATTTTATGTTGAGAGGTACCTATTCATGCTGAAGCTAGCAAGAAGTTTATTTGAAGATAATGCATTACACCTAGATGTGTGCACACACAAAACAAACTGCATACACAAAAGACTAGTTCGGGAAGACTACCTATGAAAAATGCTATTTCTACTTCTACTCAGCTAAGCACAGGGGAAAATGGCAGTTTCTGCCATTTCAAACTGCAGGGTCTAATAGGAATGCAGCAGCATCTACCAGCCATGTTAGTACTTACATCCAAGCTTCCTTCACTTGTAGATGTAGAACTAAAAACATCCTCCTCACCACAATCTCTGCTCATCCACAAATGCTCTTCTGTCTGCAACACAAACAAGTATCCTACATAGCAATGGCAAAGGAAACAGAACAGAGCAAAAATATGCCAGAGCAAGGCACCAAACCTCATCACAGAACCAAGACAAATTGCCTTGGTGGTGCTGGACCCAATTGCTGATGAACACTGAGGTTGCTTCCAAAATTCTTTGACGGGCAAGGAAAGAAAACCATTAGCAGCACAATTTAAGAATAGGAATATAAGGAAAGAAGCAGAAGAATTCAAGGCAGACAAGCTCCTGCAGCATCAAGGACCTGATTGTCACCGTCTCTGCAGCACCTCCTGGGACAGGGGATCAAACTGAGGCACCTCTGCCCACACACAGTGCTCACAGGAGCGCTTCCTTGTGCTCCTTCCCAAGCCATGACCATCACCCACACAGGACCTCTGCACTACTGGATTGCTTAGCAGTGCCAGCTTGCTTTAGCTTTGGGCGAAACTTCACATCAGAAAGACAACTGAGTTCATGCCACCTTTCTGTTTTTATGCCAACTGCAGGAGAACAGAGGGTAACTGATCCAGCATAAAATTAGAATGAACTAGATGATACCTGATCTGGCATTAAGCCTGCCAGCAGAAAGTTAACCAAAGAAATACTTTGAGCAAATCTGTATCACTCACGAGAACTGCCTTCTATTCTGTGCCACAGTGTTTTTAATATGGCAGAAAACAATCCCCAGAAGTGAGATCCAGTGTATGGTCACACCACAGCTATTGCCTTCAGTGACCTGGGAGGGAGGGAGAAAAACAGCATGGATAGCTCTGAGGGAGGGAAGGAAATGTGAGTACAGGTCCATCTCGTGGAGTGACATCTGATCCAGGACAGTTGCCAGCACAGGCTAACACCCTCTTCTTCCCTTGCAAAGGAGAACCCATTGCCTTGTAAACGTCTCCGCACTGCTGCTCCTGTGCAAGGCCTGAGACAGTCAGCATCAGCTGGCTGTAAAACACACACCATGCATGAATGCAGACACACAGAATCACTGCAAATCAATAGCCAAAGTGAGACCAAAGAAAAAGAAGAAGAAAAACAGTAAAACAAATTATTGGATGCAACTGAAGTCTTTGCAAAGGAGTAAAAAACTATAAGGGAGTAACACAGTAAAGACCAGAGAACTGTAAGAGACATCCTGGGCCACGGACTCCTGGGCCCTGAAGCCATCAGGCAATATCTTCATAAACCTACCAAATCTCTTCTTAGAGAGCAAACAAGCCACCACTTAAATTAACTTGTTCTCATCGTATAAATGAAGTCTCTAACAATTCTACTGCTGTTTTGTCTAGAAACCTTCCATTAAACTAAGCCAGATGTATCCACGGCCAGTTAATATCGACTTGCTTTTGCTTACTGCGCTATTCTCTGTGTTTAAGTAATTCTTCTCTCTACTTGGGTTTAAACTGCTGGATATTCATACTGGAAAGGCAATGGTTGATCTGAACAAAGTGACTGTTTTAATCTCTCTTCTTATGGATTATTTGTCATTTGAGAACAAGTATCAAATATGGGAGTTATCAGGGAAAGTCAATTAACTTGCCCAAATTAGCAAGACTTACACCTTTATCACAGATTCAAAAACTGCTACTCTTGCTCATTTATGCTGTTCCTACTTTCTCCTAGGTCAAATATTAACCTATTTATTGATCTTCAGTATTCCTACTCTCCATTAGAATAAATATTAAAGAAAAAAAACAAACCTGTAGCACCACCTCAAATATCTCTGGTTAACAAAAATGAAAACAAAAGAAAAGGCAGGGGATGATGTATAAAGAGCCTAGAATCTTGAAATCAAAAAGCTGTGAGAAATCCCCTGTGGTAACCCCAGAATTGACCCTTTTCATAGTCAAGTTTTCTGACATTGCAAGCATAAATATTTTACAAGTTAAATCTGAGAGGCTTCAGGAAGCAAAATTCCACCACCAGAACACTTGATACCACAATGCAGCAAAACAGACAAGCTGTAAAGCTGTATACTGTAATATATTTAGCCCCTCTGGAGGAAACACAGTCCTGTAGCCTACTCTATAGGCTTATATTCAAGTTTCCTTGCTTATTACCTTCCTCCAGGCCCATACAGAAGAGTTTCTTCAGTCTCACACACTTTTGTCCCACTCTGAACGGGAAATATTTTCTTACAGAGGATAAACACTTTGAACTGGTTGACTTCCTATCTCATAAAAAAGAGCTTTCATGTATCCTTCATAAAAAGTTAATAGCTCAACATCCATAACAGATCTGTTTTTTCCAATGAGGCAATTCCCAGTGTTTGCAGAGAAAACTCCTGTCTGGGAAAAGTGCCCTAACATGAGCATAATGTTGGGGGCGCTATGAAAGGGTAGAAAAATTACAAGGATTTAAAAACATGATAAATCAGACTGAAAAGGACCAGTGAAACACCAGCCCCCTAACGAAGCATACGTTTCGTTGTTAATCAGTTAATCAGACACGTATCTGCTGTGGTTTCACTGCAAAAGCCTTAGAGGTAGCCTTGGAGGTGTACGTAAATCATAAAAAAAAAAAAAAAAAAAAAGAAAATTATTTTTCTACTCTGACATTCTGTAGTGGTAAACATTTTATAATCAAAATCACTTGGTAGTTAAACTTGTGGCTATGGCTGCAATAGCATAATTATGTATAAAGTTAAAACCCACTGTTTTCTTTCATATATTCTTGAGAAAATTTTGTATTAAATTTCTGTGATTAGTGGCACAAACTTTTCATATAGGCTTCTCAACAAATTTTTGTGGTCTGCAGAAAATGCAGAAATATTTTTCTCCAGTTTTTCCTTTATAAAGTCACTGTTATGTCTTCCTCTATAGTTTTCTGTGTTATTTAAATTTAGCAGCTGAAACTGTATCTTGAATGTAGCTGGAGCAAGTTCTTTGGCAGTTAGGATATTAAAAACAAAACAAAAAAATCCCACACTTCTTCGTGGAATAATAACCCAGAATCTTCACTGGAAAATGACAGTAACACTCACAGTTCCTGAAAAGCTTTATGGTTCATCTAATTTCCTTAAGGCTCCAATAGTCATTTTTTTTCCTTTTTTAAAATTTTTGTTTAAGTTTTTTAAAGATTACAGCTCAAGATTAAAAATAAAGGTTAAAAAAATAATATCAGCAGATATGGATCCTTCAGTTTATTACTCCTTTTGGTACTTAAAGTTTTTTTATTCAACTTCGCATTCACTAGTTTTACATACTCAGTAACTTGACTGCACAGGTCTTGCTAAAGATAAAAATGCTTTAAAGCAGAATACTGTGCACACACAGGAGAAGCCTTTGTTAGCACAATTCTACTCGCTATCTAGAGGCACGTACTCTATGCTACATCAGGGCTTTTGTAAGTGCATTTTTATCCGAGCACTACTGAAATGGGGAAGTAAGTTGCTTGAAACTACTGCCCTTTGCACCAGATACTGCATTCTAATGGTTAACATTTCCAAAACAATCTCAACACAAAACAAGCCCAATGCCTTCAGTTGGCATCCTAAAAGTCCATCAAGGGGTACTGCTTAAATGAAGATTATACATCTGCTGAGACAGGCTCCCTGAAAAAAACCCGTAAGATAACACTCACCAGCAAAATACAGAGAGAAATTCTCTTTAGAATGTAAAACAGTACTGAACACTTACCTTGCTGTTCCTTTTGTTAGCTTTGAAAAATCCCAGAAATCCTCGCTTTTCTTTTTCTATTGCATCATTGATTACTGAGGCATTTCGACTTGGTTCTGAAACAATTATAATGAAATATATTTTACATTTCTGAAATAAAGAATTAGAAGATCACTACTGTAAAACATCCCGACTTAATGCCATATTTCTACTTACACTGGAAACTCGTAAAATTATCTAAGTAAACATCATATCCCAGATTGTCCTTTTTGAACTCTGACTCATTCCAAGTTTGCCCCAAAGCCTATGGAATGCCAAGGGCAGCAATTTGACACGCTTTAGTTTTTCACCCAACTACTGTCCTCCAGAGCCAGTTGCTTAGTCTCTGAAAATGCTTGTTAGAGAGCTTACCTTCAAACTCATGGAGGACGGTAACCTGACTTTGCAAAATAATGGTGGTGGGTATCTTTAAGATCATGGGAAGCTAATGAAAGAGTCGTTGTGAATTTGGATCATGCTCCAAAAGGCCTTGTGTAACCCTCTCTCCCAGAAACAAGGCTTTCCTCTGAGCCTAAATCAGGATATTCAGGCTCCAATCTTGTCTCTTCCCAGGGCCCTCATTTCAGATGGGAAGTGAGGCAATTTTCTGTGTGTTCCAGGCTGCGAGAGCTCAAAACACACACGTCCTCCTTGAGCTGTCTAATGACTTGTACGATTTCTTAGATCAGCTGGTTTACGCCCACCTTCCCCAACATGAGTGGAATCCAATGAGCAGTATCATGAGATTGTGTATTATAAAGAGCAATCACCAGTTTGACATACATTATACAGCTTGTAAAGCTCTCCCATTTTTCAGGTCTGGGCAAACATAACCCCCCAAACTGGCAGTGCCAAACGGGTACTGCGTAATACTGCACTGATCTCCCTCTGGTTCCAAGCACATCAGAGCATTCCACTAACAAACAAAATTTCATGTACTCAAAAAGGTTTTAAATTCTTTGTTCAATAATAATTAAGCATAGGTAAAATGACTTGTTTGCTATGAAAAAATAGTGTTCTCTGACTCAAAACAAATTCTACAATTTCTGTAAATTTGCATTTCACACAAAGCACATGATTTTCACACAAGATCACTTTGCATATCAATAATGTCAAGGGTTAGAAGGTGTTAAAGACACTGTAGTTCAAAGTATGGTAAAAAAGCAAAGATGATAAATGCAAATGGAAACAGGGAAAGATTATCCGTAAGAAAGGCTGTGACTCCATCACAAGAAGATACAGTAATAAATTAATAGCTTACTCAAATATGAAGTATTGTCTATACTCTTTCACCAGAAATGATTATTTTTCTGCTCTGGGCCAGGCAGCAACTAGATGTGAATCACTACAACAACCTTATACACATAGTGTTTACTATCAAATGCTAGGATAGGTCAGTAACAAGTCAGTTAGAGATGACCATCAACATGTTCATTAAACATTTTATATATCTCTTTCAACTGAAATGTGATTGTAAGCCCCTACATCCATCTCAAAATATCAAGAAATCTCTATTAAACTAGACCCATTTTTCTTAAACAAATAAGGAAGATCTCAACACTGGCATTGTGCTCTAATCAAGAGGAAACCAGTGCAAACAAGGGAGAAAGGATACTAATTTCAGTGGCAATTGGCCGGTGACTATGATCCAGACAAGGCAGGCTACCCTTCTTCCTGCAACTCTGAAGGAGTTACTCCTAACCTGCTCTGGTTATCTTGGGGTTACTAGGAAAGCAAAGCCAAGCAAGCTACAGTTGAACATACCTGTCCTGAAGATATGTTGAACTAATATTACAACAGATTCAGTGGGTAAAGTGGACATCGGAAGTATGCACTGTTTGTCTGTTTAATGGAAGCACAAACCTAATCCACGTCTTACGTACTGCAATTCAGAGGTCAGTATCTATTTAGAGTGATCTACTGCGCAGAGTTACATTTAAGTTTGAGATGAGAATGTTTAGTTGCTAGTACATTTCAAATCAGTGTGAGATCTCCTAGGCGTCAGAATTTTCTATTTTTGCTACTATATGAATTTTGAAAGTAGCAAAAAATATTTTGCTACTATATGAATTTTGAAACTTACCTAAAAAAGTGATCTTTCTTAGGTAAAAAGAGATAGTTTAAAACCTCAATGGAAGCATACCATGCCACATGGTTATGTGACACATGGTTAATGACAGCATTTGTTAGTTGTTGACATTTTTTCAGCAATTACTGAAAGAGCACAGTGCATACAAATGTATTTATTCTTATGCAAAGCACAGCCACATAAGCAGCACCATCTAAAAAGACAGTTTGCCAAAAAACTTGCTTCTCTACAGTGTTACTGTCCCAAAGATCTACCAAAACCATGCTCAACAGTGGGAAGGGAAAGCTGATTTTGCTCAGCTGTATAGTACAGTACCTCTATAGTTCAGAGAAGGTTCAGATTGAGTTTTTGATGGAGGAACTGGAAAAGGCAGGCAATGAAAGGACAAGAGAAAATACATTAAAGTTCTAGTATTGCTTAGTAAGGTACAGTATTCATTCATTACTCCCATCATTTGTTTTCCTAAGCGCTACAGTAAAAGATTTGTCTAAAACAGACATGCAACTAGAAGCTACCTAGATGCGAAAGCATTTGTATTCATTTTTGATTCAATTGCTAACTCGAATTATGCAAGCAGGTGGCAGCAGAGCTCATCTTTTGCAACACTTCTGCTATAACTTGAGAACACAGTATTTCTATTTCAGGGAAGAAGAGACAGGCAAGTGCTCCATTTTTCTAGAATCCATTTCTTCAAGTGGCTTGGGCTTTCAGCAGCTCTGATGCCTCCCTTGCTCACAACAATGTGGGCTCCGTCTGTTCTTCTGATAACCAAATAGACTACTTGCTTGCTGGAACAAAGGGAACCTTGTGAAAAATTTATGTATATATATGTATATTTAATCATTTTTCTCATTAGACACCAGAGTGTGGGGCAGGGGTGGGGGGGAGGCAAAAAAAAAGGCTGAAATGTACTCAAGGAGATATTATTCTAATGGAAGGTGTACTGAGAGAATAAAAGAAAAAAATGTTTCTGATGCGAAGAGCAGCGCACTGCGCAGCATTATTTGATTCTAGCTGTAACTCTGGCTTTAAAGGGATGTCTTTTAGCTGTCTGCCCAGGTTGTACCTGGACTACCCCAACATGGGCTTAAGGTCTCGTATCATACACAGAGAATACACCATCATTTTCATTTTAAAGCTGCAGCTTAAGGCAGGCCTCGGCTAATTATCCTGTAGGTTGTCCCTCGCGTATGCTTTCCTGTTGAATATTCTGCATGCTCAATATGTTGTTCCAAAATGCTTAGCTTAATTACAGTAAACATGTCTTGGGGGGGGAAAAAAAAGAAAGAAAAAAACATGCAATGGAGTTATGACATCTTGTCAGCCACTTTTCTGAAGCATCCTGGCAATTCAAAGGAAAAGGAGACATTGCACTTGCTTTAAAAGACCAAACTCATTGAAATATGGCTCACACCAAGGTAGAGCTGTCACTTATCAAAGCGCTTTGAAAGAAGAGATGGAGCATCAGCATAAATAAATTACTGTATAAATAAAAAATAAGCCTGCAGCACACAAAACTGACAGTATCTAAACAGTAAGTAGGGACATCTATTGTGCTGGAAGCTGTACTGACGGCGACAAACTGCAGGAAATAATTTTAATGAATAGCGCTTTCCGACCTCAAAGGAAAAAGCACTTGTCAACGTGCATTTTTAAGGCACGTTTAATATTTATGCCACGTGAACACGCGCTCAGGTTGCTAAGACTGCAGCCCGAGAAACTTGCAAATAGGTAAACAAGTAAATATCTAAAAGAGAGGAATAGCAAGAGAGACGAGTGTTTAAGGCAGGTACCTGCTCAGTTAATCCTCACCAGGGCAGCCAGGGCCCCTGTCTCTGCTGGTGGTGGCAGTGGTGGCCATGACTAGGCCGTGCTTTAGGCCGTGCCGATGCTTCCCGCCTGTCCCCGTCCCGCAGCAGGGCCGGAGGGGGACAGGCTCCGTGCGGATGTGCCCCTGCCCTACACACACCTGCACTGAGAGCGGCTGGGGAGGTGACAAAGCTCCTCCTCTGGTGGCACCTGGCCAGCTCGCTGGCTGAAATGGCATCCTCCTATTTAAGTCAGGCTCAAAGGCAGGAGAGCGCGGACGTGATCGGCCTCCCCCGGCATCATTGGCACGTCACCCAGGGCTCCAGCAGCCACTCTCTGCCTCAGCTCACCTCTTTTCCTGTCCCAGGCGTAGAGCTCCTTTATGCCCAGCTCCTCCAAGGACTTGGTGAGCTCCAGCTCCTCGCCGGTGATGCTGTCGCGCAGCAGGACCACGTGCTCCCGGCTCACCTCGCACTTCTCGCAAATCGCGGGGATGATGTGGTGCAGCGGCACCTCCGGGCTCACCCGCACCACCGTCTTCTGCGTCTTCAGGTAGTTCACCACCAGCCTCACCGATTTCTGCAGGAAAACACAGGAAGATCCTCAGCCCTCACCCTGTGACGGCTACGCTCCTTTACGATGGGGGAGGTGATGGCGACCATCTACGCTGTCCTGACTCCTTCTAGGCAAACTCATTGAAAGCAATGTATTACCAAAAACAAAAAGCAAAACCTGTCAGCACACTCTGCTGTCACTACCGAAAGTCACGAGAGGTGACTGAGGAAGAGGAGTCAGCCATTTCTCTATGTCAATGTTTACAGGCATCACTCTTACACATGAATATGATGAGCACAAATAGATATAATGCTTCCCACTAATACAAACTTCACGGAACAAATATTTGGAAGACAGCCATTTTGCATCTCCACAATGCCGTGAATACATTTGAAGATGATCAATCTTCTCCTTTTTCTTTTTTTTCATTCCAATAAAGAATTATTTTCCTCAAAGTTTACTTTTCTAGTATTCCATTAACTCTCAAGAGATGCAGAAAACAAAACAAAGACATCAAATCTCCCTGCCCACTCTACTTTTGACTCCAAAAAGGGGTCAAAAAACCTTCAAAACCTACTATCCCACAATCCAAGAAGCCTTAGTTTAGCAACTACTGTTAACTGCAACCTCAAGGTCTTCCAACAAGAGTCTTTATAGGAGGAGACTTCACTCCAGCTGGAACACAACATTTTGTGCAAACAAAGCTGAGGCTGCTAACCACCACTCTCTGTGCAAATTAGTGAAGCTACCAGAGCATTAGCGTCTGGCTCAAGTCTTTCCTGTCTGCTTTAAAGACTGGTGAAAGAAGAAGAAATGCTTTCAATCATAAAAGCAAAATGATGGCTCATGGCACTGCTTTAACCCCACACGGCACTGACCTCGGGGACCCTAGGCGGAGGTCGCTTTGTCTTTTCTTCGGGAATCTTCTCCTTCAAAAGGACCGTCTGCACATCCAGTGCTCCTATCAAAGTATTTGGCTTGTAACTCAAGGGTTGTTGCATCTCCCAAGACCTGAGTTCAAGACTATGTTGGGCTGGATTCAAGTGATACCGGCTGCATAAGTCAACCAACAGATCCATCACAGCTTTACTGCAGAAGAGATGATGTTCATGGTTAGTAGAGAGCAAAAAAACAGATGCCAAAAATATCACCACAGTTTTAATATGTGAGCAAAAAGACGGTCCAAGTTGTGGATGTGTCACTATTTAACCATCTTTGGTAGAGAACTGTGCGAATGCTTTGAAATGCTAAGTGGATCAGATAAAATGTTAGGAACTATACATATTCTTGTTTCAGTGTTTATGAGCTGGCAATTAACTCTTCACTAGGAGGCAGATACCAGTGCCTGTAATCGCCCTTACAAACACAAGCAAATACAAGCAAACAAAGTGCATCTTATCTGCTAGGTGCATATACTAAGTTCTGCAGTTCAAACACTGGTCTTTTAACATGCAGATAGGCTAGAAATAACTGCTTCCCTTTAGGTACCTAAACTCTACCTAGATTTGACCTATCACATAAATCAAAACTGAATATTTGTATCTGTAACAGGTAGATTGGAATTTCTTCCAGCTTACAAGTTTGTGGGTTCTCTCCCACCCCAATTCATACAACACCAGTAATCTTTCCAAGACTAACAGATCCCCTCTATATTTATTTTGATGAGAAAATTTAACCAGTAGAAAAAGATCTAGCTTCTAGTATCTGTGTAAGCTCTCCTTGCTGATGTGATGCTTCTGAAGAGGTTTTGGATTCAGAAGAAAACAACAACAACAAGAGCAACCTCACATAAACAGCAACCCCTGTAATGTACATGGGATATTTTTGTGGAATTAATTGAATGGACAGTGCATTTCCCACAGGACTTGCACTTTTTCTGTCTGTAAACTGGAAAAAGTGTGTCTATATATATAATATATAGAATATATATATATTCAAAAAACAGATAAATTCAAACGCACGTACAAGCCTTTTCAGCTTATGAGCCACCACCATTACATCTGTAGCTCAAGACCTCCTTCAGCTGTAAGCTGTTGGCAGCTGAGACACGGCTCTGCAGAGGCTGCCAATCTTCTTCCTTGACATATGAGAATGGGCAATATCTGGTTAAGAAGTCAGTGAAAGTCTTTGGAGGTTAACTATTGAGACAAAAAAAAAAGTGGAAAATGGACCTGAACCCTTGGAAGCAGGTCAAAGACTAAAATACATGCAAAATGTTAACCCTCTTATGCAAGAGATGAGATATAATGTGGGGACCTTCTTTATGGTGACCTCTTTCAAGTTAACTCAACTATTTCATGTAAGCTGAGAAAGAGGCAAACCTGGAAAATCTGAAATAAGTAAATGCATTTAAAGGAACAAAAACCAGTGAGATGACAATGACAGAAATCAACAAAGGAAGACTGATATCAATAGAGACACCAGAGGTTTCGGAAAAATAGAGCACAGGGATAGTGGGTGGGTGAGATTATATAAAAGGTATCCAAATATTTGGAAAAGGTAGGTAAATTTGTGACATTCTCATAGCCTATCTTATGTTGTAAAGGTCTGCATTTTGCAACCATAGTTGATTCTAACACAAGTCACAAAACAATTGGCACATTCACACATACCAAGTCCAAAATGGTCCATATCAAGGACCAGTGGTGCACATCAAGGACATACCAAGTCCAAATGGAGCATAGACCAGTATTTACACTGACACTCCCTATGCCATGCGGCAGTGAGCATCTTGGAGAGCCCCAGTGCCTCTGATACAGATCTCGGCTTGTCCACAGATACGTATCGTTAAAAGTGAAGTCTATATACTTGTTTTCTCAGCTTCATTACTATTGTTTCAGAGAAAAGTAAATAACCTTGCAGAACCGCAGTACATAGTGTTCTATTTACTAGATTCTTTTTTTAAAAGTAGAATGATGATGTAGAATGATAATTTTATTTAAAGGAGAATGATTCTGTGCTGTAGCGTAAAATATTGTGATAATGCATTCATATTTGGAATGTTATCTTACCTTATGCAAGGTATCAAAACATTTTAAAAAAGCAGGGCACTTTAAAAAAACATTTTTTTTCTAAATTACTGAAAGCTCAAAAGATGACTCTGTGATTCTGTCCATGTTTCACTGAAATTATGAAATGTGTTCAGCACAAGCAGTACTACCCTTGCAACCATATTAGTCTCCACACCAATCATCTAAGAAAGCAAGCTGCTCTCAGTCATGCATGTTGAACACACTTGTCCAGTCAACAAACTAACAGCTCAAACCCATGGCAATCTGAGTTATTTTCACCTATTTGTTGATTACAGAGCAGAAAAATATGAAATACAACACTTCAAGCAAAGCCTGCAGCATCCCATCCTGTTTCCTACTGCTCAGAATTATGCAGCTGCTGCATGAGGAGCATCCCTAAGCTTCATCTGCACCATTTTGGAGTCTACCAATTAAATAATATATCAGATGTTTTTGAAATAACTTAAAGTGTACAGTATTCCTGTCTCAAATTGTAATGATGGTAAATCATCTCCTCAAACTTCTAAAGGATAAAAAGAGAGCAGGAGAAATTCTAAGAACTATATTCAAAATTCATGCCTTACCAAAGTATCACATATTAGAGCATTAAAAAGAAAACCAGAGAATGTATCTAGTTTAATATTCAGACAAGAAGATCCAGATCACTCTTATTAGCAAGAAGCAGCAAGCAGGTTCCAACCCGCTCTTGTCTTATAAAGCTATTTGATATTTAAAATCAGTTCTGGAAAGCAAAGGGTAACAGTTCTAGCAGCAATATTTATCACTATCCATTCATGTCACGCTGTTCACCAGTCCCTTTCAAAGGCATTTATATTTTCGGGGACAATAAGTAGAGTTGATCTAGGTGTGGCTTGGCCTAATCTTTACTGGGATCAACAGAATAAACCATTTAAAAATACAGGCTTGTATATCTAGAAAATACCTGTGTAGGACAAAGCTCTGCTCTGTAGTATGATGTTGACACTGCTATTCCCTTCAGTTTTGTGCTGCAAGCATCCACAAAGAAAATCTTAAATGGAGGCAAGAATCTTCATCTAGTTCAACTTCAAATATAAACTAGAAATCTGAAAAGACAGTTGACTGGAGGCTGGGAGGGCAAGGGGAATTAAAAAGGAAAAATGAGAACAATAATGTAAAGGGAGTGACTTGAAGGTTATCGGGTTCTATTTTATCCATTTAAAAATGAAAAGTTCCTAAACAATACATCTATAAAAATAAAAGGAAAAGAAAGACTTAACTCAGGAATTAACACTCCTAACAAGAGGGCGGGACTGGCTGGACAAACCAGATATTCTAAGGGTCAACTAGTCACTGGGATTCATCCCTGGCCTCTGAGGTAAAATATCACCTATCTTCAGAGCTAGACGTATGGTGGATTTGTTTTGTCTCACCTTGAAGCAGTGCTCTTTTTTTTGTTCTGTCCACGTGCTTTTAATATTTAAAAACAAGTGTAAAAAATGCTTCACTCTCTGCTGGCATATCTAAGTATGCATACATGTCTGCTAGTGTATATAAGTATGCATTGCACGCATACCTATATATGACAGAAAAGAAAAAAGACTATAAGATACAAATCTTTGAGAATTGACAAAGGATACTTACAGATCACAGATGCAAAATTAAGAAATATAAAACACTAGAAGTATTTTATTTCTATTCCCCACAAAAGCTATTTAATAAAATTCTAAACCAAAACTCAGACAGATCTGAAAGGTTACAAATTCATATGACTATGTTGTCCAGAAGCACTATTTGATAATAATGTTATATTCCAAAAACATCTCAGAATAAAGGAAGCAGAATGTTTCCAGCAAACCTTTCACGCCTTCAAGAAAGACATATTGTAACATTTAAATGAGAATGTAATTAGACTGCAAATTAAGCCAGTGTTAATAACAGAAAAGTTTATTCCCCAGAGCATTCAGTCATAAAGCAGGAACACGTGAGTCCAAATTGTCCTTGGCATTTTCTGCACAGCTTAGGAACTCCTGTGCTCGATAGGGCCTTATGGGAACAACAGACCATGAAAAGCACACGGGGGAAAAGACTGGGGCAAAACAGGCAAAAACCAACAAGGGAAACCTCAAGCCCTACAGAGAGGCTCTGGTCTGGCTCCAGTCTCGAGAAAGGCAAAATTCACCCTTCACCCTTTGGCCGGCTCACCAGAAATGCGTGGGAGAGGACAGGACATTAAAGCTACATCTGAAGGGTGAAACACGCTAAGAGTTTTCATGAATACTTACATTTAACAGTAGAATTTACGGGGAGTATTTCAAACAGTAAAACAAGTGTACTTGAATACACTTCTATTACTACACCCATTAAAGACTCAATTTTGTCCTTATAATTGCAGTACATGTTTCCAGAAGTTGAAATAAACTGTGTGTAACAAGGTGGCGATAAACGCTTAAAGAGAGACTTTGTAAGTTAATTATTTTTTTATTTATAAACCTACTTTTTTAATGGAGATTCGAATACAATTATCTCTAAGTAGCACATCCATTTTTTTTGTCTTAAACTACTGTTCAAAAAAAATTATTTTTTTTACCTCATCTGCATATGTATAGAGACCTAACAAAGTAAAGATAACTAAAGGCTGCTTGCCTGAGCACACACAGAAGACAAATCAAGAGAGCTAGTTTTGACTTGGTTTATTTATAATAATATTACATGATACTAATTATTACAGTAGAATTTATGTTTCTGCACAACCTCCTGTGGATTTCTTCACTCTCTGAACTGCTTTCCTGAAATTCCTGAAGCCCTTTTCATTGTGATGATGTTTGGAGAAAGGTTTTGCAAATTATCCTGAAATTTTGGGTACTCAAAAGCAGATTTTGTAAAACACATTTCAATGATTGCAGTAACACCATCAAAGATTTACAGCAGAATAGTCAATAGCAGAATTTCCCTGAAATATCTTTCTCTGACATGATCATAAGACAAAATGACTGAACAGGAAGCAGAACTTACTAACTGAACTGGCTCCGATATTTGCTTTAAACCAAAGCTAAACTCTCTCATTTTTCTACCCCATAGATGACTCAACAGATGCTTACTTCTCAGTATCACTGTATTTTGTATACAGTATCTTTATATCCAGCATATAAATGTACAATAGATTTTATATATACAATATATTTTGTATCCAATATACAACAGTAAAGCAATGCAACAATGCCAAGATACCTGTGCTTTTACCCAAATTTGGAGATTTAAGACAGATGAACCCTATACAAAATTTAAATGTCTTTGAAATTTTTAAGTTTATAATCCATATCCTTTTTTTTTTTTTCCAGATTGATTACACAAACACATGGCTTATTAGAGGGTTTCTAAAGTTTATTTTTAACTTGATAAAAATAGCTTACCTCCTTCCTCATTCTCCCTAATCTCCTATCACCTCCTAAAGCAGGCTGTAGGAGATTGACACTTCCTTCTAACTTGCCACCCAAGCGCTTAGCCCAGTATGGAGAAAGAGCCCTTGGTGCCTATGCTGGGCACTTACGACACTCACCTAAGGAGACGAGACTACAATTTCCTCTTGATTGCACCAAGTAACAGGGAAGATCCCTTTCTATTCCTAAAGAATATAAAGATACAAACCAGCCTAAGACTAGCTCAGGAAAACATGGATCCATGCACATGTGAGGGTCATCTTTGGGGAATGCAAAGACACCAACCGCCAATTTGTTCTTTCTGCACTACATAGGTAAAGTCTCTCATGTGTGCCTCTCAGTACCCTCTATGAGGACCACCTAAAACACAGAGAGAGGCATGACTGAAATGCTCCATCATTGTGGACGAGGAGAGATGAATACCAGTATATTTACCAGTATATTTATATGTAAAATGTAATGTAATTGAAAAGCTCTGGAACGAGGGAGATAACTCAGGCCTTACCTTCCTTGTACTGTGCTCTTCTGCTCCACTCCACTGGGCAAAATGACTGTGAAGTCGACCAGTCTGTTGATCATGTTCTCCTTCACACTCACAAGGCTCTGGTCAGAAATGGCATCTAGCTCCGCAGGTGGCTTTTGCTCGCTGTGAATTCCACTTGCTGCAGAAGGTTGATTTGGTGGAGGAGGAGCTCGAGCTTTCATTCTTCTCCTTAAGAAACAAAGCCAAAAAGAAAATTAACTTTTTTTTTTTTTTTTTGTGAAAAGAAATAAGATATTGAAAATATACATTATCTCCAGCAATAATCTCAAGATACTTATAAAACTTCCTATAATGTATGCCGTTTTTCCTTTTTCATGCAACTTGTTGATGAGGTTGCTATAAATTTATTTTTTTTTTACCTCTTCTTCTCTAAAAATACAGTAATTTTTCAGTGATGCACTCACTTCCACTGCCTGTTTTCCATGCCCCACAGGACAAATTAGTTCCATAATTAGAATAAAAAATAATCACTACTTTGTTGAATAAGAAACACGCTCCCACAAAGAGAAACTCAGAGCAAACTGGGTCCAGTCCGGATGTGACTCGAGAAAGGTGCTTATTTCCATGAATGCATCTTCCAGGCAAGCTAAACCTGCAAGAGCAGAGTTCACTTGAAGCTTCATCCAGCTACATTTGGGTTCCACAGCACTGTGCTCCTTAAAAGATTGTCTCTTCCTCCACTCTGACACAGTGGAATGAGTTTTGACTTATTGTAACTCACAGAGAAATGCCACGAAAGAGTCAAACATGAATGATATCACTTCTTACCACCATATACTGACAGCATAGCTCTTTGCAAATACTCTGAAGAGAACTCATTTTTCAAGAGAAGGCTACACGTTATGAGCTACATAGAGAAAAGCTGCATAAACTTGCAAACAGCAGTTGCACTTCATAGAGATCAAACACCTACACAAACTCCAAGTTTTACTCTGCTGGAAGTAACGTAGACATATTCTTCTGTATCTAAAGAGTTGGCCTCATACCAAACACATGTGTAAGAGGATTAATGTTGATGGTTAATATTCCCAGCAATATTCAAGTCTCATTTAAGTGAGATCTTTGTATAAGATATATGGAAGAAGCAGTAATATATTTTCTGAAAGTGCAGAGAAATATTATTCAAAGCTACCCTTTGCTTATTTTTTTAATATGACTGTTTTTAGGTCACAGAAGGAGAATTACTTAGTATTATTTTTTACACTGTGAAGAGTATACAGAAAATAAAAAACAAACAAAACAAAACAGGACCTAACTGGAGCACTAACTCTCCCAAAACAGGAAAAGATTAATAAAATGTGTGAAATATAGTGATAGAATCAAAAAAGGGACAAAGAAATGCTCATAAAAAATATACATGCTAAAAATTGAACATGATCAATACCAAAGCGGTTCATCAATTAAAAGAAACAAAATCAATGAAAAGACTATACAGTCTGAATTTTAATAAGTGTATCATAGACGGAAAAAAAATAGAACTTTTTCACATAAAACAGTTTGGAAATGATCCAAGTCCTCCATATTATCCAATTAGCACTTGATCAATAATTTCAGTGACATATTTCAACCCGTGAAAATCATCACTTTTCAGTGTGAGCTCATCAGGATACTGTAAGATTAGCTGTAATACAGATACTTCCATTTCTAGGTATACAGCAGATATGATAATCTACTAAGATGCCAGGAGAGCTTCCACCACACATACTAGCATGTGGCAATTTTTCTTCTATTCAAAAATTTTTCCAAGTATTAACTTTTTAGTTTATATGGTCAATGAGTCATGCAGTCATCAATCACTACCTTGTAGCTCCTACTCTCCTTCCTGCAGAGGCTTAATTGCTTGTCAAATTGGCTTCACTTTCTATATGTCCCCAAACAGAACTGCACTGATTTATTGTCTACAAAGAGGAGAAAAAAAATATATGATTCATCTTTTGCTCAAAACCCTCTGTTCTCTCAGGCAAAGGCAATCTTCACCAGATATATGCACAGCAGCCTTGGCCCCTTGGTTATCAGTATTGTGGTCACAGTTCTACACTGCAACAGGCCAGGCTCAATTAAAGCAGAATCTGGTTCTTTCCAAGCTTCTTATCTCTCTAGACATTTGTGTGGGCAAAGCTGGCCTTTGTGGGCAGACTGTGAGAGCAGTTTAGCACGAATCCATATCATGCCAAAGGAGGATCTTACATATAAGGCAGCTCAGCAATCATGCAATGTAAGCACTTCAAGGTTCAGATTCATTTATGAATTACCTAATTTTTAACCTCCATGACAGCAACTGTATCAATCAGCTACACAGATTCACACATACGAAAAGTTTTCCTATAAGGCTGGGGAAAATCTCCAACGCAGTGCTACTGAAAGAGTGAAATAGCCAAAGAAGGTGGGAGGAAAAGAAAGCAAGTGGCCTGGACCTTGCAGAATTATTAAATCACGATTTCGTCCCCCTATACACAGCCCTTGTAAGGCCACATCTGGAGACTGTGTCCAGTTCTGGGCTCCCCAGGACAAGAGGGATGTGGAGCTGCTGGAGAGAGCCCAGCGCAGGGCTACCAGGATGATCAGGGGCCTGGAACATCTGCCCTATGAGGAAAGGCTGAGGGAGCTGGGCCTGTTCAGCCTGGAGAAGAGGAGGCTGAGGGGGGACCTGATCAGTGTGTATAAATACCTCAAGGGAGGCAGTGAGGAGGAGGGGGCCGGCCTCTTTTCAGTGGTGGCCAGCGACAGGACTAGAGGAAACGGCCACAAACTGAGGCACCAAAAGTTTCACAGGAATTTAAGAAAGAAATCTCTTAACAGTGAGGGTGACAGAGCCGTGGAACAGGCTGCCCAGAGAGGTTGTGGAGTCTCCTTCTCTGGAGATCTTCAAGACCCTCTTGGATGCCGCCCTGTGCCCTGTGCTCTGGGTGACCCTGCGTGTGCAGGAGGGTTGCACTAGATGATCTCTAAAGGTCCCTTCCAATCTTCAGGATTCCGTGATTCCATGAAATTGTAAACTCCAGCTCTCAAAGCAAACAGACAGGAAAGAACACAACGTTAACAGAATAGGCACAAGACTGAAAAAAAAAGAGACTTGATATTTCAAGCAGAAGTAAAGAACGACTGAGAGTGATGCCCATAAAGGAGCTGCAGGTGTCCTGACAGTAGGCTAAGCTTATCATACTAGTTCCTCAGCAATGCTATGAAGCAGCATCTCATCTCCTATAAAGGGAAGGAACAGGCAAACAAGGTCAGACACCTTAATGCCAATTTATAACTCTGAAAATAGGAATGCTGTTTTTATTTAGCCACTTAAGATACTTTTTCCAGCCAAGTCTATAGGTAATCTTGTACAAAACTGTTCATTAGAGAGGGGAAGAAGGAAAACAAAACAAAATGGTATCGTTTCATTAAAAGCATGGGGAATACCCTGACCAGTGATGCTTACTTTACACCCATAAAATGTTTAACAACATGTACTGCTTTTGACATGACACAATCACAACTTTTTGAGCACTGTAAAGTCCCTTTTCTTTTGTTCAAAAAAGGAGAATGCAAGTCTGCTTCCTTCACAGAAAATAGAGAAGGGAGAGGGAAAGAAATTCCCACACAATCTCTTCTCCCCAGCAACAATTCAGGTGACCTTGTATGAACTTTTCCACAATAGTGGCTATGTATTCTCCTGAAATACTGCAATAGCTTTAAATACCCAGCTTTCAAAATTTTCCCAAATGAAAAAACAATTTCAGTGGAGGCAGAGTCCCTTAAAGTTCACATTTGTTGAGTGATGCATAGCACAAGTTTTCTTAGGCACCTTTCTGAAATGACTTGGTTATAGAAAGCAGTTTCCAGGGGCACATGAACCACAGCCCCGAAACCACACGGGTTTGGGTCTGCATGTCCGAGTGTCCCCTGCAACTACAGCCAGAACATGCCGAGAAGCCTGACAGTAACACTGCTTACTCATCAGAAAAAAAACATTTGGCTTTATCATAGCTCCGATGACTGCAAAGGACAAAACAAACCCACTCCACAATAAAAGCGGTGGAAACACCCATCTTTCCCGGTCATCAGTATTTAGAAACCTGGTAATCCCCTTCTTGTTGCTAGTCTGCTGACGAAGCTGCAAGCAAGAACACTTTCAACTTGTATGATTTGATCAAGGTTATATGAGATCAATACCATCCTAAGTGTGAAACAGAGCAAAAACAAGTGGTTGTTTCTAAGGCACAGATGTAGACGGCCTTTTACTAAATATTGAAATACCTCATCCCACTGTAATCCAAAATGAGAAAAATCATAATGCCATGAGACAGACAAAACACATAGATAACCTACCAGCACTGTTGCCTATCTCCGAGTACTGTAGTACAGCAAGTAGAACAGCAGAAATGAAGATTTCCACCACATTAAGGAACTTTGCAAGAAGGCAGCACAAGCCCTTTGGACCTATACTTTATTAATACATAACTACAAGGCAGTAGGATGCAACCTTGGCCTTATAATCCCATGCTGAGACAACATGATCTGTATTTCAAACAGAAATGGTCCTGGAACTTCCACTTTCATGAGTAATGACATGCAGGGAGATTGCTCTTCTTAAGACACAGTCTAAGATGCAGAAACCTGAAAATGATTTTACACATTTCTGCCATGCTCAGGAAAAAAAAAAAAAAAAAACATAATCCTCCCTGCGATGTCAAGCAAAAGGTAAGACTTGGTCCCTTAGATATCAATAGTGAAAGAAGAGCTTCACACTGAACTGGTTTACCTTCACGGTAAAACCTGGTCACACACACACATACCAGCAGACTTGGTTCAGCACTCATTTTCAGTGTGATGAACTACTAGTATAGGGCCTCCAAATCAGAAAAATCAATTGCAGTTGTTTCATGGTAGAAGGCTGGAAGGCCTCTAGAGGGTGTCTCGGTGAGCTTCACGCGCGAGCGTGATGCTCAATAGGAGGAATAAAGCAGCCTAAGTGTGCTCTGGGATGGGCACAGCACGCGAACACCACATCCCTCACGTGGAAGATGGAGACAATGAAGTAGGTGTTTTTGAACCCCGGATGACTGCAATCCTACAGACTTCCAAGCGGAAACACACGCACACGCCTGATCGAGGACAGGGCAGATGAGTACTTCCATATGCACAAAATCTCCAGCAACTTGCACAGCAAAGCTACACAA